TTTATTGAGAATAGAAACTATTATATTTTTTTTGAGTTATATATTTGTTTTATCTGTGTTATTCTTTTGAGTATTATCTGAGTTAATAAATCTATCTTTTGTTTATAAATTTGTTAGTTATAATCTTTTCTTTGTAAATGTCATCATAGCAATAAGTTGACAATATTTTTTCTTATCTATAAACTGTTTTCTTCTATAAATTATATAAACACATTTCTTAATTACTTGTATACTTAGTCAAATAAGGTAACTTGTTAACCAAAGATCTAATTTGTTACATTACAATATATTGTTTAAATAAGAGAATCAGCTAAATTATTAGATTTTCTTTAGTATAGATGGTATATATAAATTATTAGGGATGTAACAAAAATCAGTTGATTTTTTAGGGGGGAGGGGGGGTAAAAAATTTAAAATTATATATAAAGACCTGATCAAAACATATAATAAGAGGAGGAGGGGGGTAAGCTTCTGATAAAAAAAAATCAGGTGATAAATGACACTACCCTTACAAGATTATATTATATAAAATTTAACTAATTTGAGCTAATTTAAATTCTAATCTAATTCTAACTCTAATAATTTATAAAATTAGGCCATGCAAACTTAATTAATTGGTTTTTATAACTTAGCTAGTTCAAAATTTGAAAATTTGTAAAAAAAATTTTTGTATGTTTTAATAACTGGATGGGTATTTTAAAAAATTTTTAAAAAAATTTTATAAATTTTTATATATGAAATTTAAAAAAAAAAGCTAACTGGCCGGGTCTGTTTAAAAGTTTCATGTTATGAAAACTAATATATTAAATTTGTATGACCTTACTTAAATTAGTTTAAAAAAGTTAATTTATATATATTATAATTGTATAATAATTATATATACACACTTATACTAAAGATCAACTCTTTATATATACTAATATCTATAACCTCTTTCATATTATTCAATGAAAATAACATCCTATTGAATCTTCTACTAGACACTTTATTAAAAGTATTTGCAAATCTCAGATTTTAGCAATATAGTTATTACAATACCATAATATAGAATGATTATCCTTTATTCAACAGATAGACTGGAATGCTATTTAGTTATACTTTAACTATAATTAAAAATCTACCTATAACTTTACTAACTTTAAATTAAACTAACTTAAATCTTTTAAAATCAAAACTTTATTTAATGAATTGTCTATCTACTTCTTCTATTATACTAGATATTCTACTATCTTTAATAATCTCAATTGTTTTTTTTGTAATAATTAAACTTTTTTTCACAATGAAGAGTTTGTTTAACTCTAATACCCTTACTAATATTATTTTTAATTCTATTTCTATGATTCTTCATAACTTAGCATTAGATTTATCTAGTAACCAAACTAATGAACTTATATATACAATTCAAAATTATATAGCTTTTAAAGATACAATACTAAGATCAAATAATCTTCTTTTAGATATTATACTTAAAGACTTTATTTTTATATTCCTAGTTTAAACTATTCAAAAGTCAAACTTATATTTCAAACTATTGTTAAAATTCTACTTCAAATTAATAAACTTATCTATGAACAGATATGAAAATCATATTGTATCAACTTCTCAAATTAGAAAAAACAAAACAAAATTACATTACCTTATAACTGATTTTAGAATTAACAGATTATTAACAGGACTCTAAAATGTACTCGTAAACTATATACTTACTCTTATTATTGTAGTTTACCTGATTATTTATACTTAAATAATTCCTGTCTATCACTTGAACAGACTATTAGCAAAATTAATGTCATAGATTAAAATGAAATCTGATCAAAATGAAACTGAGGACTTCTCATGCCCACCCTTATAGCCTATAAAATCCACATATACTTATTTATTAATAAATCTAACCCTAAATTCTACTCCTAATGCTACAAAAACTCCAAAAAATATCTCTAAAAAATTTTAAATTTTCCTTAAAAAACAAAAAAATTTCATTTTGATCAGATTTTATTTTAATCTGTAACAATTAATATCTTCAATATATTATAAATCAAATACAATATATCTTCTAATTATATCCTTTCTATCACAGTCTAGATGAGTCTTTAACCACTTTAATAAATTTAAATTGCAGATAAAATAGTCTGAGCTTTTATTCTTACATATAATTTTTACTTTTTATATTTTATATATTTAAAGGTTAATAACTCTTTGCAATTATTATATTAAAAACTATTAATAAAGATATAAGCAAAACCTTACCTTAATACCAAAAAAAAAAAAAAAAAAATTTTACTTTAACAAAAAAAATATATATAAACCATACAAAATTAATTAATTTTTATAATTTAATTAGATTAAATTAGATTAAAATTTAAAAATTTATAAAATAATTTTTTTTAAAAAAAACCCCAACTAGTTAACCAGATCCATTTAAAATTTCATGTTATAAAAACCAAAATACAAGTAAATCTCGATATAAGAAAGGTCTATAATATTTACAAATCTTTCTTATATCGAGAGTTTATTAATAACTTTCTTATATCGAGCGGATTTATTGTAAACTGGTTTTGGCTTGACTTACTAATATTGAGAGTTCAATTAGTCTTTCTTATATCGAAGGTTTCTTATATCTAGATTCACTTGTATTAAATTTGTGTAACCTAATTTAAAACTTGCAATTAATAATTTTTCTTATACTATATATATAAATTATATTTCTAAACATAATATGATACAAAAAAAAATCTAGGAAAAATATTAGTTAACATGAAAATTTATAAAATATAAAAAAAACGAACCAAAATTTCGTATAACGTAACACTATCAGGAAAGTTCAAAACAAACACTTGATTCGAAGAACATTTCTCAAAAACACGCGATAAGAAATCTCCTTTCGTGCTCTAACAAAAGTTTTTCTTGAGCAAATTTGTTATATATTCTATTTATCTCTAGCCTTAAACTAAACGCTATTCTAACATAAATAAACTTTAAGGAATTTGAAAGATATGTCACTCACGAGAGATGCTTATAATTTCCCTCACATTAATTGTATCTATTAAATTTTATAAAATTTTATTGGATCAAAAAAACCAAAAATTAATAATGGTTTAAACCTTTATAATTGCTAATAAATTACTAATAATGTAACAATTTAAAGTTAAATTGTCGAACTAATTATAAAATACGTATTAAGATTCAGGAAACGTTTGGAAAGCGATGGAGGGTGGGATTATTGATTGGTCGATGAAGATTGCGGAGAGGTGAATTCTTCGGGTGGTGGTTGTCTACGACCAAAAATTCGCAATCGTTTCAAACCACCATCTTAGAGAAAAAGAAAAGTCAATATTTACAATGTGAAATAATACATATAATTTAATTGCATTTATATATAACACATATTACAAGAATATACCTGGATAAATGGTCAACCGAACATGAGAGAATTTTTGGTCCGTGCACAGCAATTGAAACAGATGCAACTTATTGGGGTATAGTTTTGATTTTTCTAGAATTGTAATCCAAGACGTTCTTTTTTCATTTGGAATGTCCTAATAAAAAGTTAAATTAGCAATAAATTAAGAACAGTAATGAAATATTTTTATTTTAAACCAACCGAATCTGAATAGCAAGCTTCTAAGGAGACACTTTGAGGGTAATTTCCGATGAAAAAGGCAGTATCGATCTCAGCATGTTCGAGAAATCCGGGAGCACCCAACATGATAATTGCCCAATCACAATGATCTTTCTCTCGGCTTCTTTTCGTTTCCCAGCCATCACTCATATCTGTCCCACGACCAGGTAGTAGTAAGTTATCAACTTTAGCGAAATATTGATCGGAACAGGCGATACTTTTTCCGCCGTTCCCTAAGTAAGCAAGATCGGTCAAAGAAGAAAGATCTTGTGGCCACTGTACACTTACAATACCGTATACACGGAAACGGGCCTTGTTTGAAAATTAGATAGATAAGTATATATGGTCACGTGAAAATACTACAGAAAGGATGAGAAAGATAGAAAGATACATACCACGCCACCATCTGGATAAATATTAAGTCTTACGTGAGTAAACGTACGACTTGGTTGAATGGAGAAAAAATGTTGAGAACTCGGGTCAAGAGAAACTTTTTCAAGGATTTCAGACCACTAAAAAAGAAATAATTTATTTTTTTTTTTTAGAATAATAATAATTGAAACAATTATCGAGGAATGTAATAATTACCTCAGTATCATCCCCATGTTTAGGATCGGATTTAGGAGAATAGCAAGCCTCAACGCTAGCAAAAGGAGCATGATTCCCAGTGAAATGGGCAGTATCAATATCGAAGCCGGTAACTTTGCCCATGAAAGCTAATTTTATGACAACCCTAAATAGGCAATAACATGTTAACAATCTGATAATTTGATACTGTAATATACGTACGTACAGTACGTACATACTTAGGGAGAAATGGATATTTACCAGTCATGAGTGGAAGGATTATGACGCCGGGTTTCCCAGCCATCGTACCATGCACCCCGTTCTAATGTTAGAAGTATATACGACTTATTATTATTATTTTATAATACCAATATATCGAATGAGTGACACCAAGAAGAAACCAAAATTCCGAGTTTATTATTTGAGTGTCGCTAAAAGAAAACCTGAAAATTTAATATAAGTCATATTTAAATTTCTGGTTTTCTTTTAGCGACACTCATTATTCTTTACCAGGCTTAGGGACGTATGATACATAAATAAATATTATTACGCATCATATAAGTCGCAGGTTAGGATAAAAATAAATAATAAATAATAAATAATAAATTTGAAGCCAGGATTCTGGTTTCCTCTTTTCGTCACTCGAATAAAATGTAATAATGATAACAATACCAGTAAATTTGTGATCTCTAACAGGTTTAGTAGGTTTCAATAAATTTGCGGCTTCGACGAAAAATTCATCAGAAACATCTATTATGCGTCCCCCAAGAGTGTTACTTGCCAAATCTATGATAATAACAGATTATATTGGTAAATTTTTGATGATTAGTACATTGATATATGCCGGTATATATTTATAGTGATATCGAGATTAGTATACCAATAAATTTTTTAACAAGAAATTCGTGGCCTTCGACGAGAGAATGTCTAATAACAGAATTTTTATTAAAAGTAGAAGACATTTTTTTTTCGGTTAAAAAAAATTTCCCAAAAACTTTCTACAAAAATTTACAAGTTCAGACTACCAAGTGTTGAATATCGATAACGATATCATTTTAATCAATTTATATACTTTATATACAGTATACATATAAATTTAATGATTGGTGATATCAGATATGTAAAATTTTGGTGGACGAAACTTTGATAACTTACGAAAATGATCCGGATTATTTTTTTACGAAGGGGTTACTTTTTATCGTTATAGATTCCGACTATTCCGATTACCATGTAAAGTAATGCAGTGATCTTATCAAAGGGATCCTTTAACTTTTCGTCATTGATGAATATAATCATATGATATCATCTGTTTTTTTATATGGTATATTCTTTAAATTTTGATACAATAATTTGATTACCGTGAGAAACTCCAATCATAGTCTAGTAAAATATATTACCTTCAAATAATAGACTAGTGAAATATATTAACTTCAATCATAGATTCAATAATAGACTCAATAATAGACTAGTGAAATATATCGATAGTGTATTGTACTGACACGTACCAGCGCTAAAAATTCCGCACAAATATGCAGTGCAAAAAATTTTTTATACAGGAACGTTATTTTATTTTCTGTGCATATTGTACAGTAATTGATAATTTTTGTGCAGATAACAATACATGCACAACGAATTTTTAATACTGCCCGTAACTACAATTACCAATTTCCCCCCACAAGGTTTCTGTTTGTTGGATTTGCAGTCACCTGCTTTTATTGTTAGGTTATTGTTAGGTTATTGTTAGATTGGTGTTATATAGTATACAAATAGGAAAATTACTTTACCCAAGATTCTGTATAATTTTTTCATATCAGTATTAGTCTCGAAAAATAGATTATTCAGTAAAATTCTAGTAATGATCATTAGAGACTGACCCGGAAATGATCATTAGTAATTGTATGACTTGTGTAATCTAATAAATAATTTTTTTTATTTATCTAATCATAGCGATAGGAAGAAATTCGTCGAGTGGATATTAAAAGAGCTTATCGTTATCGTCATTAATGCATTTACCAAGAAATGAAAAAAAGAAAACTTTATTATAAAGAGGGATACAAATCGAAATATATACACGAAGAATTCATTCAAGTATATTTAGAAACATATAAAGTGGAATAAAATTATAATCTATAACCCGAAGCTTAATTTATGGTGTTAAACTCAAACACACTACAAATTCAAATATTAAATTTAGCAGTTAGTTATGAAGGTTCACTTAAATCTAACGTCGTAAAGCAACAGTCCGGCAAAAACGTTTCCAGTACCTTAATATCAGCCTAAACAATAACTATCGCTATATATTAAAATTATATTAAAATTACCTCAAATATATTAATATGATCCCTAATTAATATGATTGATCCAAATGGGTTGATAGCCGTATATTTTGTCTTCAAAGTAAAGTGCGTCAATTTTGGGATCTTTTGTATAATAAGCGTTAACACTCTTTAACGTTATCTAAAAAGTACTTTAGAGTGTATAAATAAGTTATCCGGGCAACCCGGGCAACTGATCTACATCAGCCAATCAGACGAATTCCTTCTATGATAAATACTAGACTGTTCTCGAGAGCATAGTTGAAATCTTACGATTGGTTAAATAACAATAATAAATAGAAACAATATAACAATATAAAATCTGATTTCGAATCTGAATCCGAAATTAGATTGGATAATTTTTTATATTGTTTATATTGTTTTTATTTAGCTTATAAGTGGATTCTATTAAAAAGAATGTTGCCTAAAGTAAGCTGTGGACACTTTTCTAAATAAACTACGCCACTTAGTGCTTTTTCAAAAGCTAGTGGAGTAATAGTACGAGGCATATGTTTGTGATGTATTTAGTTGTATTTAGTCTGACAATGGTTATATAAGAAAAGATATAAGAAAGAAAGAAAAGGTAAAATATGAAAAGTGGTTAATTAATAACGATAATGTGTTTTTATGTTTGGATTATGCTGTGACTGAATCATCGGTAATACGAATCACATATAAAGTATATGATTTACACGTCATACTTGATACTAAATTAGTAAATGTGATATAGACTTGTTCATGCTTTCGTAATCAACTCAGGGAAATCTCTGAAAAATCTTGCCTTAAGGAAATGCTGATCGATTGATTAATTGCATGCATTGAATTGGATTTTTTTTTTTTAACGCCTTTTTACAAAATAGTAATAGATAAGCAATAGATTAATTGATACTGTACGTAGTTTACGGTTTTTTGCCATAAAAATATTTCTATAATTTTATTATGGAAACAAAGTTTCACGAATAATAATGGATTTGATTTAAATAGAAAAAATATAATAATATTTAGTGTGTTTATTATTATAGGGTGTTACATATTTGAGTAAATCGGATTTAAATGCAGAAATGGTCTAAGTTCTTATGACAAACTTTTTTGTTTAATATATATCTATTCAAAAATTAATGGATTGGATTTACTATTTTGTACTAAAAATAGTACATTTTATAAAATTCATAGAAGCATCAAAACTTATTA